GGAGGGAGGAAGGAAAGGAAAGAGGGAGGGAGGGAAAAAAGGAGGGACAGAGGGAGGAAGGGAGGGAGGGAAGGAGGGAGGAAGGAAGGAGCATTACCCAACTAGAACTGGCCAGTTGGGTCCCCAACTATTACTCTGTGAGCTGTCTTCCCTCTGTCCACATAGGAAATCATACCCTTACTTGTGGGTACTCTGCCCAAAAGAATATAAACTTTGATTGCTGAAACCTCACAAGATATCTTGGGGTTTGCAGACTAGATATGTTTTAAGGAGCATGCCTTAAACTCAAATAATGAAAATATACTGCAAGCAAATATGTCAAACGTATCTCCTTTTCCTCCTTTCATGTACTTAATGTGATCCATATTCTATTAATTAGTTAACACAGAGTCTGTCAGAAAGACAGTAGGTAAGAGCTCTGTCATATTTCTTTAACATCAGTCAAATCTAACTAGACGAAGAAATTCAGTCTAGTCTGGTTCACAATGGATCTTCTATGTAGGTTTTATTGAATGAATTGGGCAATGTTAGGTTTCTATGCAACCTTTAAGCACTATTCCTGCAGTTTTAAGACAGATGTCAAAGTCACCATTATAGAACATTAGACTAGAAATGGACCTTTCAGTTAAAAAAAAAATCTAACTGTCGCAGTCTCATATTTGGGTCACAAAGACTTGGCTTCATATCTTTTAAAAGTATTTACTAAAAAAAACTGGGCAGATGGTTGACCACCAAAGGGATGAGTTTTTTTGGCCTTAGCAACTGATAAAACCATCTATTAAGGGGTAGTAGGGCTGAAACCTGTACTGAAAGAGGGAGTTGCCTACACCAAATAACAGATCCTTTGAAGTATTGAATGATATTAGGCAGCACACTAAGATAATATTTATAAAGATACTATTCTAGTCCACAAAAAAGGTTCCCATTCTGGGTCTGGGTTTTAACACATGCAAATCCCTTGGGTGCCAATTAATGTGCTTTTAATCAAGAAGCAACATGGTATAGTGGGAAAAGCACTGAACTTGAGGTCAGGGTCCTGGGGTCCACTTTCCATTTCTGCTACTTACTAGCTCTGTGACTTTATGGGAGCCAAATAAGTTATCTGAAGCTTAGTTTGTGCAAATGTAAAATGGAGATTATAATATTGGCCTTAAATACCACACTTAAAGCTCATAGTGTCCATATATCAGGCAGGGGGTAGACTAGTGAGAATCTACTGGCTTAAGTTTGTGAAGGTACTTTGTAAACTGTAAAAGGCTTTACGAATAAGTGGTGGTCTTACAGTACCCTCAGAACCTACAAGTACTTTTTAAAAAAAATCTCTAATTCACTTCCAAGTAACTTCTTACTGGTAGGATATGGCAAAGTCAGTAACACAAACATACACACAACTTTAAGGAAGCAAGTTTTTAAAAAGATTCAATAAAGTTGTACCACAATATTCACTGTTAAGTGGTAACTTCAACCAAAACATTCTCAACTGTTTTCATCTCTTCTTTTATGCCTTCACACAGAAACGGCCATCTGAAAATAATTCAGACCAAAAACAAAAACAAAAAAATAACCAAAAACCCCATCACTGTCTTAATTATAAAGGTATTTCAGAAAAAGTATTGAGATCTGAATTACAGTGGCTGCTTCAATTCTCCACTTCACTGAACATATAATAAACATTCATAAAGCCAAATAGTTTTGAAACATTGTTAATCTGTCCATAAATTCTTATTTAAATTGTAAGCCCTTTCACAAAGGACCAGTTTTTTAAAGTTTTAAACAAAGCTGGTGTGTTAGTGATCTGCAAAATTTTCTCAGTTATATGGGGCTTCCTGTTGGTAAAAATATTATAGAAACAAGTCACATGTATCAAAAATATTTGGGTTCAATCTACCACCCACATGGCAATAATTTATCCAATAATACCTGAACTACTGTAAAGAACAGATTTTACTCTGTGTAGAGTTGAGGTGTTGATTATCTTCTTCCGGATACTTCACTATTTCCGCCCTGACAATATGCTGTCAAATCCCGTACACAATGGACAAACAAGGAGGAGATGAATGAAGAATTAAAAAAACAGAAAGGAGAAAGAGAGAGAGATGGGGACGGAGAGGGAGAGGGAAAGGGAGAGAGACAGAGGGAGAGGGAGAGGGACAGAGAGAGAGAGAGAGAGGGAAATGGGGACGGAGAGGGAGAGGGAGAGGGAGAGGGAGAGGGGGGGGGGGGAGGGAGAGAGAGAGAGAGAGAGATGAGGACAGAGAGGGGAAAAAAACAGAAAGAAAGAAGATTCAATAACTGGAAAAAAAATGAATACTCCAGAAAAAAAATAAAGAAAATCAACATACATTTAACATTTAACATGCAGCCAAAGATACAGGAAAATTTAAACATAAAAAAGGAAAGAGAAGGAGTAAAGATGCAAGAGCCAATTTTTTTTATCACCCTATTTAGTTAATTACCAAAATGGAGAACTGTACATTGAGTCTACAAAACAGGAGTTTACATCTTGGGGACTGCCTTATCACATACATATAGAACACGTAACAATGTTGTGAATTATGAGATTTTTCTCTATTAGGGATTAATAAGAATATAATATGTGTATGTAAATGTATCATGTAAATTTTTTATTTGGTAGCATTTCTAGTCATTAAATATCTCTATTTATTTTTCATTACATTCCTTCCCATGTACCTATGACCACTCTCATTACATCTCTCAGCCACCCACAAAAAAAGCAGATTTACTTAAAAATTTTAGGATGGATTCCAATTTCATAAATGCAAATCTCCATTAGGTTTAAATAAAAAGCTCTGCAACAACTATTATGAAGTTCTGTTTCTTTAAAATGTTCAAGGCAGTTACTTAAAGCAATACAAATGAAAATATTTTCCCAATGAGATCAAGCATAGAGAAAAAGTGCTAAGGGAGGAAGAATACTGGAATGGGTGAGGTTTAGAAGGCCCACTCTGGAGTTCAGGCTCTGCCACTGAGTATCAAGTCAGACAGCTTCTCTAAGTCTTAGGTTTCTTACTTGTTAAATGAGGAATCACTCTAGATTAATTCTAACATTTCTTCCAGGGCTAAATCCTAAAATCCTATCCAATACTTGAATTGCCTTATTTTGAAGGTCAAGTGAGATAATATATGCGATCATATAATATAATATGCATTGTACCTGTAAAGCTCTATACATATGTAAGTGGCTATTATTTTCATTCCTACACCTCTTAAGGACGAAGCTAACATATAAAATAATAAGAAAATCATTTATTGGGTGCATTCTATGCACTAGGCACTAAAGATTCAAAGAATAAAAAAATCTTCATTCTTAAAGAGCTTATATTCTAAGGAGGAAATATACACACATAGAAGGCCGGACAGAATAAATACAAAAAGAGGCCACAGCCTGGACATGTGATTTCATTAGTTTTAGGCACATGTGGTAAGGCATTTCCATCTGCAATATTTAGTAACAGAGTACTAACAGAGCCTAGAGTACTAGGGGATTGAGGGTCACACAGGAGGGATGTGTCAGAGGTTAAGACTGGAACCAAGGAAGGAATGTGCTAACAATGGGCAGGCATCACACAAGGCTTCCTATATTTGAGCTGCAGCTTGAAGGAGCCATTACATAACAATAAGAACAATATTCAATAAATGATTGTAGAAAATATAAAATATGATATACATACAATGGAGAAAACTTGCTATTGAAAAAC